ACGGCAGACCAGAGGGTCTTTGCCGACCGGGAGATCCCCGATGGGGGTGTGAGCCGCAGAAATCGCGGAGCGAACGACGTTGACCGAACGGTAAGAGCGGCCAGATGAAAACAAGGAGGAAAGAAAATTAAGAATCATGGGAATAGGTGCTGTAAAGGGATCGGAGTCCCGTTCCATACACCAAGTAGACCAGGAGGCCCAGGCTGAAAGGTAACAGCGTCTAGTTCCCGGGGCCCATGAGTCCCATAAGAGGTCCCTAGCAGCCTGCAATAGTCCGCTGACTCGCCAGGAACCCCGGAAAGAGACCAAGCCACCAGGGGTAGCCGGTCTTCCAGGAGTAGTGGGTGGAGATACCCTTTGGGATCCGTGAGCAGGTCCGGGAAGGATGGTAGGAGGAGAGGGTCCCTGTAGGAGGAGGCCAGGAACCATGGTTGGCTCTGCCACAAGGGCGTTATGACAACCAGTTTCATCTGTTGCGTCCGCATCTGGTGTAGCGCAATCATGGAGAATGGGGGAAAGGCGTAGGCTCCTGTCGTCGGCCATTGTTGGAGAAATGCGTCTGTCGCCTTGCTCTCCAGGTCCGGGAGCCAGCTGAAGAACTCCGGGGTCTGGTGATTGTTGCAAGAGGCAAACAGATCCAGGTGAAAGGGACCCCTCCGGGCTGTCAGGGCCCTGAAGATTCTCGTGTTTAGCTTCCAGTCGCTGACGTCTCTCCAGTGACGAGAGAACCAGTCGGCTGTGAGTTTGATTTCTCCCGGTAAGTATTCCGTCTGAAGCGTGATGTTGCGAGGGAGGCAATAGTCGAAGATGTCCCTTGTGATATCCGACAGCAGGCGTGAGCGAGCGCCTCCCAGACGGTTGATGTACTGGACTGCGGAGACATTGTCCATGCGCAGGAGGATGCAGCAGTTGGATCTTTCCCGGGCCAGGCTGCGGATCGCGAAGGATCCCGCCAGGAGTTCGAGGCAATTGATGTGCATGGAGAGCTCCTGTGCCGTCCATGTTCCTCCGGTGGAGATGGTTCCGTCGGTGGCACCCCATCCCCACAGGCTGGCGTCTGATTCCAATACGAAGTCTGGGGTGACTCCGAATATGGCCTTGCCGTTCCAGGCTTGCATGCTGTCCAGCCACCATGATAGTTCTTCGCGAACCTCCGTCGTCAACGGGACGGGTTGGTCGTAAGTAGGTCTGTGGCGTAGGTATTTCGCCTTGAGACGTTGCATGGCCCTGTAGTGGAGGGGACCCGGAAATATGGCTTGAATGGAAGCAGAGAGGAGTCCTACAATCCTGGCCAGGTTGCGTAGTGGAATGGAGTCGAGACGGAGAACCCTGCGAATCTCATTGCGAATGGCTGTGATCTTTGAGGCTGGTAGTCTCAGAGTGCATGTCGTTGAGTCGATCTCGAAGCCGAGGAACTGTATCGTCTGAGTAGGGGTCAGCTCCGATTTCGGTTGGTTCACCACGAAACCCAGAGATTCCAGTAGGGACACTGCCAAGTGAGTGTGTTAGCATAGTCTGTGTTCGTCGGAGCAGAAGAGAAGAAGGTCGTCTAAGTAGATGATGCATCGAATGCCCCTGGATCTCAGGTGGGCCACCACTGGTTTTAGAAGCTTGGTGAAGCACCATGGGGCTGAGCTGAGCCCGAAAGGGAGGCAAGTGAATTGCCAAGGGCGTCCGTGCCAGAGGAAACGTAGCAGTGCTCGACAGTCCGGGTGCACCGGGACTGACAGATATGCATCTTTCAAATCGAGCCTGGTGAACCAGTCGTTGCTTCGAAGAAGGTCTCGCAGGAGGTGGATGCCCTCCATCTTTAAGTGGCGATAGACCACGTGCGTTGAGGGTGCGTAGATTGATGACCGGTCGGTATTCTCCCGACTTTTTCCGAACCAGGAAGATGTTGCTGAAGTAACCACCCCCGTCGTGGGCCGGTTGGATGGCCCCTTTGTCTCGGAGCTCGCGTAGCTCCGCGTTGACGAGGTTGTGGTCGGAGGACAACATGTGGATGGGGCGAGGGGGCTGAACCTGAAAGGGGGTCCCCACTAGGTCTATGATATATCCCTGTACTGTTTGTAGAATCCATGTGTCTGAGCATAGGGCGGCCCAATTCTGGAAAGAAAGGGAAATACGGCCCGCAGTGCGGGTGCATGGTAACAGTGGAGGAATATGGGTCCTTACCTGTAGCAAAGCGGGAACGTCCGCGTCCACGGGGTCCACGACCTCTATCCAAGCCTCTGGAAAAGGGTTGCTGCCGATAGTCCCTTGTCGGGTAGAACGGTGTTGGTTGGGTGCGGGGGCCTGAAGGCCATAAGCGGCTGGCGGCACGGCCCCGCTGCCGGCCAGCCCTTCCAAAAACCCCTCTGGTAGGGTTGCTCCTGAAAACTCTGCGCATAGAGGATTGCGCCTTATTAAGGGAGGTGAACACGTTTACGTGTTTGAGTTCCTTGAGGAATGGTTCGCCAAATAGTTTTCCTTGTGCCTGGTGCCCAATCTCCTTTGTGCCAAGGTCTGCCAATTTACCGTTAATACGGTATAACGCTGCTTTTCGTCTCTCCGAAGAGAGCGTAACAGTGTTTCCAATGAAACAAAAGCACCGTTGTGCCCATTCCCTGATGTCCTCGGCAGAGAAGGAGTCGGCTTTGGCGTAGGCATCATCCGCCAGATACATAATGCGAGCCAGGGGGCCTACGGAATCCAGCAGGTTATCCTGGGCGCCCCATAGGCCTTTCTCTACCCCTCGGCAAGGGTCTCTACCACTGCGCATCATGAAGGTTGACATAACCTTGTCGAATTCCCGGGTCTGAGCGACCTTATCCGGCAGGGAAGGGCGTGGGCATTCAGACCTGAGTCGGCTGCGGACCTCTTTCTCCAGAGGTTTGCGGAGCCACAGGTGCATAAACCTGGAAAGGTGTTCTGGAGGCGACCAGTCACCCGATCTGGGGTGCCGTATGTTGCGGGGGTTGAACATCACCTGGCCTGAGGGGTCCAAGATGGTGTCTGAATCAAGAGGAGGTTCTGCGTCCGCAGTGTCTTCGACACCTCCTGTCTAGGCCGCACCCAGGAGGGTCTCTCGCATGAAAGCGGAGACAGATTTCTCGTCCGAGCCCCATGCGTCGTAGTCCGAGTCAGAGGCGTCAGCTTGCCACTCATCCAGCACTGACATGGACTGGGCGTCCTGCTCTTCGTCTGAAGAGTACTCCTGACGCGGGGCCGGGGTGTGAAATTTGGCAGACTCGCGCTTGGCAGGTGCCTTACCCTTAGGTGGTTTGGGTGTGTAGTCTTCGCCTTTGTCATGGCGTTTTTTAGGGCGGGAATCCTCCCGTGCCTGGTGGTCGGACAATTCAGAATCCGACTCGTGGCGTGGACGTATGCGTTTTGGTACGTCAGGAGCCGAAGCTCGGGCCTTGGAGAGTGCCTTCTCCACAGAGGCAGCGACAGCTGCGTTAATCATGGCCTGGAAGTCCACAGGGACGTTCTGGGAATCTTCCATGTCAGGGTAGGCCTATAGGTCACTGAAAGGCACAGCAATAAACGGGCACCCAGGTCTTGATGGTAGGCGTAGGGTCAGATTTGGAAGTATGGTGGGAACAAGCCCAGAATAACCCCAGCAGGGTATTGTAGTGACCTTATAAACTGGGGCTCACCCAGTTAGAGAGAACTGCAACAGCTAGTCTCCCAGTAAGCAGCGTATTTATAGTGGGGGCTCACCCCGGTTGCACAGGGTTGGGACCCTTAAGTGCAGGTCACAATAATAATAAACAGGCAGCAGCACTGACCTGACTGACCCAGCCACAGGATAGCTTGATAGAAGCAGATGAGGCACAGAGACTGAGTAGCAGATTGATAGCAGCAGATGGAGTGCTTGAGCAGGTAATCCTTCAGTCACAGGGGTGTCAGACACAAAAGGTGTGAAAAACAGCAACTTTAGAGGTAACAGCAAGCTAGCACAGCCACACTGAGTCCCCTAATGAGATGCACGAGGCAAAACTAAGATGGCCGCGAGAAACACGCGATGTCCGCGATCCAAAATGGCGGCCGCGAGGTAGGCCGCAAGCCGGGGACTAAATTTTGAGGCCGGCCACGGGCGGAAGCGGGCCGGCGCGAACGAAACCGGCCGCAAGGAGGGAGCCCAGGAGGGCACTCCAGGGTAGGGGGGCAGTGGGGGAACCTGGGGAGACCAAGGGGAAGCCAAGGGAGGGTCCCAGAAGGCATAGAGGGGCAGAAAAAACCCCACAGAGAGCCCCTAGTCCCACAGCCCTAATACAGAATAAGTAAATAGAAATAAAAGGGCTAAACAATGATAATAAGATATGGAAATAGAAAGAAACAAACAAGTAATGACAATAAATGTGTAAAGCTCCAGGGGAGCAAATATTCTGACCTGTCTGCGATGGAGCAGTAAAGAAAGAGGAAGTGTACAGGCAGCATAACCCTTATATACTATGCTGCTCAGTGATTTATTTGTTACTCTTTACGTTTTTTCTTTACTGCTGTGGAGTTTAGTAAAGAGAGTTAATGCAAAATAGGAAGCCTCCTGTCATGTTATAAAATTATTTTCTAATGGAGCACCTTTAAGTGGAGAATGTGCCTAATAATTTAAGAGGATGTCAGGCTGAAATATGCTGTAAATGTGCCAGGTCTTCACTCTAGATAACCTTGCTTTATACTAATTGTAAAATGCGTAAACCTGAAGCAAATAAATAAATGACCTTGATTTCTGAACATTATGTTCTCAACTCATGCCAAATTTTGGCATAGACAGAAGAAATTGACTCTTTTCCAAACTATTCATCTTGCACAGACCATTACAAATCTCTTATTTATAACTCAGTCCAGTTCAGACTCCAGGCTATTCATTTTAGTCAGCTGCTGCTATTTTGACCTTAAATTTGAAATCTCACTTTAGTGAATAACCCTGTACATTTATTTTGTTATGTTGTAAAGTTCTGTAAAAAAAAATATTTTTGAAAAAAATCCACACAATCAGTTTTATAAACCAGTTACGTATATTTATTAAGCAAATGTTTTAATAAATGTAGTACTGTAGAAAATACAAAAATTTCTCTTTTCAGGACGAATCAGTTACTGGTGGTGATGTTGATACCTGTAATTCCTCCAATATTGTGGATTCATTTTCTGACACAGATGTTGAGCTAAGAGATGGCCTCTTAAGTCGTATTATGCGCCTTGATTTGGTCTGTTCTGGAGAAGAGACATTGCCTTTAAGTTTGGTTCCTTTGTCAACAATTGACAGAGTATTGCGTTGGCTTTCATTTCTATTTGATGACACAGGATCAATACTAATCCGTTGAATTTTCAGGTCAGTCCTTTTCTGCTGTGACCCATCAATTACTGGTCTTTTTAGCCTAACATCATTGGAAGCCTCTGAATTGGTTCTTTGGGCACAAGGTTTCAATGACACAGAGCTCTTGATTCTAATATTAGTATTTGTAGATGGGCCTGAAAATCGAATAGGTTTTGGACCAGTTTTGGATGTTGCAGTCTGGTCCTCATTCTCTTGTGTGTAGTCTATTAATCTCCTAGAAAGCAAGGCACAGTGGTTAAAATAAATCTATAGGTGAATATATTAATATTCCACACATCCCTATTAAAATACATCTACTTATAGTGACATTTTATTGAGATGTTATGTGGATTCTGATCTGAGCAAAATGTAGGAAAGTAATGCAGTTATTATGAAATATTTAAATGCATGTCTGAATATTTGTATAGTTGATTGCTATGTAAATAGAAATTGCATAGCGACACAAATATAACTGTAGGAAGAAAAAAAAATACTTACCTCTAAATGTCCCTATTTTGAATGCACATTCTGGATGTGATTGGAAGAGTTTTGAAGCAAATACCTAGGGTATGAACCTTCAATAGAATCCACAATGTCATCACGAAGGGCCCAACATCTCAAAGTCAATGAATGTATTAGGGCTTAAAATGTCACGTCCTGTGCTACTAGCCAGGCTTTAATATTTACTACCCACTGCACGCCAGTATAGTCCATGGCACATATACCAGAAGTGAATTTCTACTCTCCAGTGCTACATTTTCATCTGCCAGTGGCTAGTGGAAATTGTTATCCTTGAATGTATAATGTACCATAGAGACTAATTATATATATTCAACTGACCATTCAAAGAAATGTATCCTACTAATCATGGATCAATCGGTCTCGTCTGCAACTCTGTGGGTGTTACATTACTGTAACAACTACCTCCAGTCCCACCGAGGTCCAGCTTGTGCGCTCTCAGGATTGGCCCAGATGGAGGACAAGCAAATCAATCCTTCCACATAATGAAGTGACATCCATTGCCAGCACATAGACATCTGAATGGAGTGACATCAGACTCTCCATTTCTATCCTCCAGTAGCCACTGCAAGAAGTGCTGGCTAGAGGAGTAAGTGCATGTGCTGTATTTGCCGTGCCAAATAGCAGGAGAACTATAATATACTTTACAATAAGATATGTGTAGCATAACAGGTGAACTTTAAGTATGAAAAAAGAATATGAGAACCAATGATTTATGCAAATGCACTCTTACTACAAAAACACAATTTTACTTCAGTAGTACTTGGAAAAGAGGGTACAACATCCAGTGCATCATAGCATGCGGTTTAATGAGGCATTACAGAAAACTAGGTGGGATAGAGAAACAAGGCGAAAAGAGAGTGTGCTAACTAAAAATTAGGATGAGTAACAACTTGTGCTTTATATCCAAATACAGTACTTTATATCTAAATACAGTACTAGTGCTCTCATTATGAATATACCTATATAGATATATATTCATTTATATAACATTTGTACCACCCATAATGTTTCTTTCCACCACAGACAAATCTCTTCTTTGTGTTACATCCATAACATGATGTTTAATGTGCTGTACCTTCTGTTTACTGGAGACATATTCTGCTCACTTCCTTCTATAGGACGTTCTTCAAGGGTCCAACATTCGATTAGTTCCTGAGGAACGCGCCAGTAACTGAAACCTGCAGATTACAAAGCACTATCTTTTAAGTCATCCTACAACATATTCTTTTAGGGTAATAAAAACATTTTAGACATATGGAGAAAGCTTTAACAGTCAAGTTTCACTGAAATAGTAATATGTTAAACTAGCACATTGAAAAAAAAAAATACTTACACTTTTTAAAAAACTTAAGTGTTTAACCCCTTAAGGACCACATGACAGTCTATGCCCTCATGCAATGCAGTGCTTTAACCCACGGCAAAGACCGCTATGCATTAAAAGTACCAGCAGGGTTAAATCCATGCTGGAACCATTAGTGGCCCCAGACTGACAGATGAGCTATATGCAGCCCTTAAATAGCCCTTTAAAGTTATTTACATTCTGTGGCTGAGCACTCCTTTATCTATGGTAATTCTGAGTCTACACCCAGCTTGAAACAGGGAGCCCCAGGTATCTTTTGAGACCTAATGGTTCCCTCTGTCAGTTGACAGACTGACAGTCTGCTATGTACGGTGCTCAAAGTGAGCGCTGCACATAATGGCTCTTTAAATCAGTTTATCCCTGTGATGAGGGAGACCCCAGGGATTTGAAAAGATCCTGGTCATGTCCCTCCGCTCAGTGACCACAGTTTCAGAAGCTGAAGCATGATAGATATCACAGAGCTCTCTGTACTGTGTTAGCTGGGTTATCCCTCTGCTGATGTCAGTACTGATGTCCTCTGAACTCCCCATGAACTTCTCTGTTTTGATTTTGGCTTTATTTTTGTTAAATAAATCATGACACTGTGTAATATGTCATGTGTTGTTGTTCATCTGCAGTTGTATAAACTTATTTTTAAGACCTACTAAGGAACAGATACTTGTTATTATGTCCTGATATGTAAAATAATAGAATTCAAAGAGGGTGTACTTTTTTTTCCCCATGACTGCATGTAATGATCACTAAAGAAATTCAAGCCACATCATCTCCATGAAGTGGTCTTGGTGCAATGTTCCTGTCCTTTTTAAAAAAAAAAAAACTGCAATGTAAATCTTCCTCTAGTGGCTGTCCTAATTTAGTGGTCATGGTGCCAGGAGTTCCCTGGCACCCGCACAATGCAAGTATAAACAGTTTGACTTTTTATCTGGGGTCCACTGGGTGCCATTTTCTGCCTCCTCCTGTCAGTACAAAGCATAGCCCATTGGCTAAGAGTGATCAGCTGACAAGCTCAGCCAATGAGCTAGCCCTGCACTACTTGGCCAAGCTCAGGAGATCTAACAGTAGCTCCTAACAAGAGCTTCTAGCTGTTTTTTCCTGCTGAGAAGAGGTAGAGAGTGGGATCTGGCACACCTCAGATAAGAAATGGAAGCATTACTAAACAGTTTGACTACTTACAATGGGTGAGTGCCACGGCACTCCTGGTACTATAACCTCTATAGCACGCTATAATGATTATGCTGCTTGGGGGGTTTCTTTAAAATGACAGGCAGCTAACTAAAAACTCTAGAACTTTTTGTTTAATGTTGTCATTGTCCCACCCACACACAAATAAATCTCAGTACACTTCATGTTCCACAAAGCAATAGACTAAGTTCTTTGGTGCAGAGGGTGCCTAAATCACCATTATAAATATGATCTGCCACAAAATTAAAACCACTGACAGAAGAATTCAATATAATATTATTACAATGGCACCTGTCAATGGGTGGGATGTATTAGATAGCAAGTGAACAGTCATTTCTTGAATTTAATCTGTTGGAAGCAGGAAAAATAGGCAAGCGAAAAATATCTGAGTGACTTTTACACAGGACAAAGAGTGATGGCTAGACAACTAGGTCAGAACAATGGCAGGTCTTATGGGGTCTTCCCGGTGTGCAGTTGTTAGTTCCTACCAAAAATGGTGCAAGCAAGGACAACCGGTGAACCAATGTCAGGGGTCATGGGAACCCAAGGCATGTTGATGCACTTGCAGAGCGAAGGCTAGTCCGTTTGGTCCAGTCAAACAAAAGAGCTACTGTAGCTGAAATTGCTGAACTGTATGCTGGCCATGATAAAAAGGTGTCAGAACACACAGTGCATCGCAGTTTGCTGTGTGTAAGGCAGCGTAGCCGGAGACAGGTTAAAGTGCCCATGATGACCAAGTGCCTTCTATGGGGACGTGAGCATCAGACCTGGACTATAGAGCAACGGAAGAAGGTTGCCTGGTATGATGAATCACATTTTCGTTTACACCATGTAGACGGCAGAGTAGGTGTGCGTCATTTACCTGGGTAGAGATGGCAGCAGGATCCACGATGGGAAGAAGGCAGTGCTAAGCTCTGGGCAATATTCTACTGGGAAACCTTGGGTTCTGGCATTCTTTGACATGTACCATCAAATTGCCTTGGCTTCCAAATTTCCCTTATCTCAATCCGATTCAGCATCTGTGGGAACACAGAAATCCAATTCATGGATTTCCCACCTTACAACTTGCGAAACTTAAAGGATCTGCTCCTAATCTCTTGGTGCCAGATACCAAAGGATACATTAACATGTCTTGTGGATTCCATGACTCGACTCATCAGACCTATTTTGGCAGCACAAGAGGGACCTATACGAGATTAGGCAGGTTGTTTTAATGTTGTGGCTGATCAGTGTACAAAATATTGTAGTAGATTGATATGTTTATTCTAATTGGAAAGATTTAACCATTTGTTCCCAGAGAGATAGCCACATAGCACGTGGATTGAACAAAATGCAAACTGCATAACTGCGCATTTGTTGGTTCATTTGGTATAATTAATCTATCATGGTGTCATGGGGCAAACACATGCAATATTATAATTGATAATGTTATTTCTATCTTCATGAATCTTATCTTGACATGTTCGGGCTGCGAATGGAGGATCGGGTTTTCAGTTTGATAAGCACTGTGTTCCTTTAAACATAAAAGAAGAGCACAAATTATTTCTGCATATTGTGGGATGATTATTATTATTAAGACTTTAAAAGAACACTCCAGGCACCATAACCATGGCAGTCCGATGCAGAGGTTATTGTGCCATGTGTACCTTGGTTGCCCATCTCTTTGTAACATGCCAAAGTGTTGTAACACAGCTTGACAACTTACCAGGGTACCCACACTGCTTCAGGTCGTCTCCAGCAGCAGAAACCAGATGGCTCCAGAGCAAAACACAGCTGATGCAGGACAGCGCTCATTGATAAGAGTGCTGAACTAATTCTCTAATTTTAATGATTGTGGTCTTGCATTGTTCTGTTTTGTTCTATGGAGCATAACAGGCTTCTATTACCCTCCTCCCAGCTATCAATAACGCTGCCTCCCTACACTCTTCCTGAAAAGACAAATCAATTTATCTTGCCTTCAAGCTCAACACCAGTTGTGATGGACCACTTTGACACTGTGGACTGGTGCAGGACTCCCTAGCACCACCTTCTCCAAAAAGGACTAAAATCACTGTGGTAATCCCTCCCCCACTGAGCATTCTGGCGTGATAAACCAAACCAACCATCAGGAACTAGTTAAAGGTTCTCACAGGCACAGTGTGCCCTACAGGGTCCTACCCAGTAATTGCATGGTACTATAGGTCGGATCGCAGAATTACGGCAGTCCAGCAAAAGTAAAAACCTGGGTTGCATTTGGCCCTAGGACCACCAAACATGGCGCTTTTTGGAAGGGAGATCAGACAGGTGACAAGGCATCCAAGGACTAAAGGGGCTCTCTCTGTACTGGAGCCCTCAGGAGTCATCTTTTGCAACTGAGACATTCCACTCAGCAGCCTGGAACTGCGTGCCGGATTGGAGAATGGTAGAGGCCTGGCCTCACTTTAAGAAGAGATAACTTTGGCCTTTTGTGAAGCGTTCTTGAAGAAAGGCCAGTACTTGAGGATTGGAGGCATTTGAGGCATTGTTTCTCTTGCACCATGAAGAACAAGTTCTCCAAATTCTGGAGTGTATCTTCCAGGTAGACTTTATATTAGACTGACCCAAAATATCAATGACTTCTATGCTAAGCCCTTGGGCTAACAGTGTAAACCTTGCAGCTCCCAAACGGTCACTTTGAACAGCTTCAGAGCAATCTGAGAGACATCTCTGTTCTTCATAATGTTTTCTGAGGAATTTTTGAATGATTTCTTTGAGAGACTTCCAGTAGTTCCAACATCATGACTGTGGGCATGACTGTGATTATCATTGCATGGTCTGTTCTTATCCTTTGCAGAACCCTGTGTATGACAGCTATAGGGGAAAACACATAGGCAAGATAAAAGTCCCAAGGGACTGAGAGGCTATCTAACAGATATGGATTTGGGTGAAGCAAATCTCATGAACTTCCTGTTGTATCTTCTAGCCATAAGATCGATCTTCAGATGGCCGAAGGTGATTTCTCTGCAGATTATTTTAAGATCACAAGAAAGACCCTTAGGGGTCAAAACGTTGATTGTGACAATGCTTATTTGTGTATTTTAATTAATTGATTAAATGATTCCATCGATTGTTAATCCTTTGAGTGCGCCCCAATTTTTCAGATTATTTATACAACGCAGATTGCACCAGGGTACTGTACAGAACATATATTCATTTCCAAGTTCTTTGTTATATATATATATATATATATATATATATATATATATATATATATATATATATATAGTGACAAACTACTTATTTTCCAGGTAGGATTTTGTCACAGATCTTATGGTAACCATAGCCTTCTAAGGTAATCAAAGTCCAAGACACATCTAGCTCAGTTTTCCAGATTTATTTGATGAAAATAAACAGGTGTTTTAAATAAAATTAAACAAATAAAAAGTCCTTGCTCTTACTTGAACACTTACTAAACAAATAAATAACTGCCTGTAATTGGTTGGCTTTCCCACTTACAAATTTTCAATAACAAAAAAAAAAATTACACTTGCAAGAAACACCATTCCTCTGTCCTTCAGCTCTCCTAGCTGGCTTTTTTTCCCCTTACTATGCAGCAGACTCATCCCTTCTTTTATAAGACTGCCTGTTAATTGACCAGCTACAGGTTAGTTTCAATTAGTCACATCTGTGGAACTCTTAAGTCAAATGCAGGTTCTGGCCTGGCTGTAACTTAGCAACTAGTGCTGTTGGGAGCACTGACTCTGCCCCAGGGACCCTTACCGCGGTTTGCAGATTACCAGCAATTTATCGTGCAAAATCAACATTTCTCCCTGGGACATTTAACCGAAAAACCTCAGACTGCTATTTAGCAAAGCAGGACTGATATATCTTCACTTAACCAACATTCCACATTTTCGATTTTATATATATATATATATATATATATATATATATATATATATATATATATATATATATATATATATATATAAAAATTTATTTATCAATGGATTGGGGAACCCTAGCCACCCAGAGGTAAACCCACTACTATTTGGTGGGTGGACAATGGCATGTCCACCCCCTATTTTATAATTAATTAGGGCCCCCACCCGCCAGCATGGGTGGGAACAATACGTCCCATCCAATTTTATATATATATATATATATATATATATATATATGAGTCCCCACCCACCAGCATTGGTGTGGACCAGGGAAAGGGACAATAGGTCCTCCCATTGTCATACGTATTAGGACACCCACCGGCCAGTATGGGTGGGGCCAGGAGAGGGGACTACAGCTACATTTCCCTGATTATGGTAATATAGGGGGACCTATTGACCACACCATATGATTTTTATGTATTTTTACTTGCTTAATGTGGCAGGCAGTAAGCAAGCGCTGGCCAGTTGCCAAATAATTAAACCTTGTAGTGCTTATGGTTTTTCACTATTTGCCTAGTGGCTGCTAGCACTGCCAGTGGGCAAATAATTCAGATTATTTTTTATTTTTTTTATCAGATTGAATTTATTCTTCCCAGATTTCAGTCGTCTTGCAGCTTTTGGTTCAGCTGAAATTCAGACCAAATTCATAGTCGTTTGGGGCCTGATTTACAAAATCCGGATATTAATGAATTTCATCAATGTCTGAATTTTGCAGTCTAAATAGCACCATATGCAGCCGGATGGCTTTGCCCCATTCAGTAGAGTGCCTTGTGGACCTTAGTGAATTACCCTGTAAAAGGGTTTATACAAAACAGTAGTAGAAGCCAAATAGCTATGGTAAGTTCAAAGGATTTTGCTTACCTCTTCCCTTCCATGTCTCAAAAGCATCCATCATGTTTTTCAGCTCAGACACACTATAGTAGCTCAGAATATATTGTATGTTACCACCAGCTTCCCTGGCAGAAAAACACATTAAAAAAAAGGAACATAATGTCAATTTTGTTACATTTGCTCACATTGCTTTTCAGGAAAATGTAAGGGACACTCTAATCATCATAACCACTACAAGTAATTGACATGTGCACATTGTAGTGGTAATGGGCACCAGTGGCAGCAATATCACCATGCGGCTGCACACAGTGGCCACCCGATGGGCATGTGCAGGGCTGCCATCAGACATTTTGGGGCCCCTAACACAGCTCAAGGTCTGGGCCCCCGGGGGCCTGCCTCCAAGTCAGTACTCAGGGTTCACCTTCAAATCTGCCCACAATAATGCGGTGTGTATAAAATGGGCGCAGTGTGTGTTCATGCACGTGTAGTGTGTATAGAAATAATTATATATATATATATATATATATATATATATATATATATATACACACACACACACACACACACACACACACACACACATACATACAATGTGTGTTTGATTGTAAGCATGTTTTTGTATGGAGTATGTGTGTGAATGTTGGTGTTTGAATGCAGGTATGCATTTGTATGTAGTGTATACACTTCCACACACTGATACACATACATACACAGACACACAGATACACACACTAACACAACGATACACACACTGACACTTAATTACTGACACATGTTACACATACACATACCACTGACAACGATACACACGGACACTTAGATACAGACACGTTACACACTGATGCACACACAGATGCTCAGATACACATTGACACAGAATACACACACACAGAAACATACACAAATGCACACACTGACACACAAATACACATTGACACAAAAAGAAACACAGATACATACACTGAGACACACACAAATACCCACACACAAACACACAGATACACACACACACAGATATACTGGCACAGACACAGAGATACACACATACTGACACACACACAGACATACATACTGACAAGGTTAAATAGAGCCCTGGTATGAGGCACCTGTGACAGGGAGGGATGCAAAACCAAGGAGTTGACCTAGATTCCCAAATATATATATGAAAGCAGGGTGCTGCACTGACATGAACATGCATAAATGGGGTGCTGCTGGGGCTAATTCATACAATACACAAGATCCAGCGCATTTACTCACTGTGGCAGGTTTATGCAATGTATGATCATATACCGTAACTAAACCCCCATTATTTTTACCTAGGTTAGGTGTTTTTAAAAAATACTAATATAATCTGTGAGCTTTGAAGTTGCTGTTTAGTGGATGAGTGAGCTATAGCTATGTGGGACTCTCGGTTTGTGTGAAGCTACTAGAACAAGGTTTGACATAGAACCAGGAAACGGTGCCTTCAGATTTCTAGCACTATAATCACTTCAGTAGGTAGTGGTTATTGTACTCAGTGTGCTCCCTTAATATAGCTATAGATTGAAAATAGATTTCATTTGGAAGGAAGATAAAACATTATATATTTTTCACTTTAATGCCATTGTATTTTTTTACAGGACATCTTAATGCTTCAGGCTGCCTGGGTCACTAATGAAGAGACAACATCCTTAACCACAATCTAGTTTATTGGCTTGAGTGCCCACCCCATAACCGAAGCTATGCAAGTCCCTTCTGAATTTACACAAGTAACATACAGAAAAAAGAAGAAAAATATTTTCACTGGATGGCAATGTGTACCAACAAAGCATGGCATATGATGTAAATGGAAAGAGTTTTTAAAAATGCGTTTTTTTTTTTTTTTTTTCAAAGAGCAAAATGATTAGCTTTTGGTAAGCTAATAAAATATGCCTTTACATCTGAAGTGACCATACTCCATTAATGCCCCTTGAAAGCCTGTAAAAACAGTTTAAACCTTTTAGATCTAATCAAGGGATCATTCCACTTGGCTGTTATAAAACAAATACAAGGCCAAGATTGCCTGGTAGCCACCTCTTTGTGATATACAGTGGATGTCTGTACATATTAACACACTGTATACTATTATTGTGTATAGAAAATAATTGCAGATTGTTTTGGTGAATATTACATTAATCAATTTTTTTTAATTTCCTGTTAATAAAATTCAGTCTATTATAGTGAAACCTTTAACTGTCAAAGCTGTGGAAATACCTTTGGCACTAAAAAAAAGGTTTACCATAAGGGGCTTGACATTATGGTCACAAAATTGTGTATGAGAGTTAACATTAGAGCAGATGGTCGACTGCCAAACAGTTACCAATAGAAAGGGAAAAAAACCTCCACTAAATGTCTTTTTTCCTTTACTGTCATTTTAGCATACGCTCTTCCAACAAAACATTAAATTAAAAATGCTTACCTTTTGTACATATTTTTATGATTAATTCGTTCTCCTAATTGTTTCTCGGTCGCCATTTGTGCATCCTTCTTGGTTGCGTAAACTCCAATCACTTTACTCTGACAGCTGGAGCCACTTGTATGTAAGTAATTTAACACCCACACTGAAGGTTTTGTACATATGAAGCCATAGGTATCACAGAAATCAATTAAAACCTAGGCAAAAAATAACACTGTATTAGACAAAATAAGACAGTATTCTTTGTCACAAAATGTATTCAAAATAAAATATATTTCACCTTTTGGCTTTTTCTTTTAATGTCACCATAATAAACTTAATCTAACACAGACATAGATGCTGGAAAGCACAGGGAGTTATTCAAAGGCTGTAACAATCAGCCTACATGCTTCTCAGATAAAGTGACAGATTTATGGGGGGGATAAGAATAAGTTCCTCCATTCTCTTAGATGCACAGGTCATCTAGAAAAAGATAATTAATGACAGTGACATTAATAATATATTGCCCCCCAAAACATCACTGTGATTCACTTCTCAATCATGTACTACACAATCTCAACATATTATCCTAGCAAGACGTATTGCCATTATATAGATAGTTATTTAAATTTTTTATATATTTTCACTTTCCTAGGATACTGGTAAAGACTGCACACTATGTCCACAGAATCCCCACACGTTAAGGATTGTCAAATGTTGAATGAATCATTTAGACACAATATAGCTGACCATGCTGCCACCCTATCCATTCCCAACCATTGCATTGGAGGAGATATGCAATGGCAAGTAACGTTTGGGCCTGGCTAGTAGTTTAAAAGTTGAGAATGTGAGCCTTGATAAAACACAGTACAATATATGTAGTATACAAGGTGAAGAAAAGCAAGATATTTCCAGGACCTTTTTAAGTTCTATATTTGTATTTAAAGAATATGTCTCCATCTCGTTTGCCAAGTGATCAGTCAAATTGTAAGGGTATGGAATTCCAAAGTAATCAGCCTCTTCATGCAGAGCAATTCGCGTTTGCTCATCTTTTGGAATCCTTACTTCCCCGTGAAGGTAATCTAGAATGTATTTAAAAAGCATCCCATCTCGATCAATAAGGCAAGCACCTAGGAGTACAAAAAAGATTAATGTAAAAAAAATGTCATGGTTTATGAGTAAGCAGCAGCAATAACTCTAAATAAATACACAGAACTGCCGAATAAGCTAACAGTTTACTGACAACCCCGTTCACAATTTGTGAATGGAGGTAGGTACGTGGTGTGTGCACCTCTTAAAAATATATTGTATAGACAGAGATGAAAGTATAACATTCTCCAAAAACCCTCCTACAATGTTTACAAGTTATACAGATACAGGAGACCTCTGTGCACCATAATATATTCAAGGAGCACAACTTCAATGCTTTATAGCAGACAGTTGTTCTTTAAGGAATTGCTGTAGGGCAAGAAATGTGTAAGGTGGTTCATATTTGTCCTATGCTTACTCCTGTGAGTCTCCCAATATATGTTGGATTAAAATAAATCACTGACCTTTACCAAATGAAGCTCACAAGAAATGTGCCTATTTATATAAATCACTGTATTGGCCAAAATGTTTTATCACACTAGGTAAAGGGTAAACTAATTGCAAAGTAAAAGGTAAAGTTTTTATGATAGTAAGACAAGAAGTGACTTTGCTTAGTCAACTGTGGTGTGAAAAGACATGCTACAGTTGTTAATGGGGCACTCTAAACACCATAATATCGACAGAGGGATATAGAGGTTATTGTAGCAGGAGTCCCTGGTGCTGCCTCACTGTTAACAATCTAACATTTTCAAATGGTTTAACAGATACCTTGGTGCCTTGGGTTCTTACTAAAGTGGAAATACCACTTCTGTCTTAGATTTATCAATCTTGTCCACATTTGGACAGGAATTCACTGGTTGAGAGTATCACCTAATATTTAATTTAGTCCAAATAGGGTCTCTTTAACCCCTTAAGGACCAAACTTCTGGAATAAAAGGGAATCATGACATGTCACACATGTCATGTGTCCTTAAGGGGTTAAAGAAATCTAATAAAGGTCAGTTTCCAGTAACCATGATTATGATACATGAGAACAGTATGTCTGAAGTTTTACTTTAGATACAATGGACAGCTTGCTGGGATGCATGAACAATTTTTTTATGCACTTCCCTAATTTAGGCCTCAATTTAACATCAGGCTGACCTGCCATTAACTGCATCACTGGCCCACCCTCTTTACCTCCCCCTCTCCCGCGTCCCAATTCTCAGGAATCCTGAGTTGGGAGGTATGACTTGATAACTTATCTAAAGAGAAATATAGTTACTGTATTACAATTTACTGTATATGCTGACATATAAAACTAGAGGTCGGATAATATGTTGAACATAAAACTGTTAATACATGGCCAAGTCGAAAATAAGGCCTCAACCTAATTATTTATTGATACAGACAATGCTTTCACCCTTCTCATGCCTATTTATCACTTCCAACCTCTTCTATAACTTTTCTAAAGAAACAGAATTTCTGGAGTGCTTACCATCACGGTTATCACTTGATTGAGTATGCTTAGAAGTCCTTATGTACATTTTACACACCCATTGTTTGAGAAATAAAAGATGTTACCACTTGCAGTATATGTAAACACAGTTGACTAGCTGGAGAGATCCGCAGATGCCACCTATTGGCAACAAAAGTAAACTACATGCTGTTTTGTTTGTTTACGTTTAAAATAATCTCATCACAGGATATAGTAAATAAAACAACAGTTTTAACCCCTTAAGGACGCATGACGGTTCAGGACCGTCCTCGGCATTTTTGCGTTGCGACCGAGGACGGTCCTGAACCGTCCTAACGGAAAACGGGCGGCGGGAGCGATCAGAGATTGCTTCCGCTGAAATCCCGTTGTTACTATCTGCCCGGCATCCCAGGCAGATAGTAACAGCCAATTGCGGCATGTGAGCGATCCGCGATCGCTCACAATTGGCTGGTGTCAAAGTGGGTGTTACAAACACTCACTTTGACACTGATCTCTGCCTCTCTCCTCTCTGTAGCGTTTTGTGAGAGGAGAGAGACAGAGATCCTGATAGTTTGTTGCAGCAACTGTTCCTGTGAAAAATAAAAAGTATCTTCAGTTAATTAAAATCCTATTTTAACCCCTTCCCTGCCAGATCTGTTACAGACAGTGCATTTTTACTGTCTGTATTTTTTTTTTTGCCCTTAAGGGTTAACTTTATTTTAAAAAATCTGTGTCTTAGACTGTCTTAGACTGTCTTAGACTGTCTTAGACTGTTTTAGTCTGTTTTAGTCTGTTTTAGTCTGTCGTAGTCTGTCGTAGTCTGTCATAGCCTGTCGTAGTCAGTCAGTTTCCTTCCCCCAAATCTCCATTAGATTCTTCTAACAGGAGTTAGTTTAGGGATTACTGTTTTAGTCTGTTTTAGTCTGTTTTAGTGTTTTAAAAAAAAAAAAAAAATATTGTGTTTAGTATTTTGTTAGTTTAGTCTGTTGGTGTGAAACATGCAGCGCATGTACAGCTTGGAGGAGGCATATGCCTTCTTGGCGTCAGACTCTGACGCCACTGACACTGCGTCCGATTTTGACCCAGGTCAGTTTAGCGGCACGTCTAGTGACATGTCATCTGTGTGTGAGCCAGCTGCTAAAAGAAGCTGTGCTTCCCCTGCTACGCTGAATGTGGAGGAGGACTGGGTACCTCCACAGTTAGCTGAGCCCAACATCCCCCCTTTTAGTGCCAACGCAGGCATTAATGTGAATGTGGTTGACTTCTCCCCTATACAATATATGGAGTTATTTTTAGGGGATACCATCTGGGAGGAGATTGCTTCCCAGACTAATTTATACGCTAGCCAATTTATTGAGACCAATCCAGGTAGCTATACAGTCAGGGAGCATGCTTGGCATCCCACAGATGTCCCTGAACTTAAAACATTCTGGGCTCTTACCATGCTCATGGGGATAATAAAAAAGCCATCAAAAGCCATTCGACTCCTATATTCTCCCAAACAATACCTAGACCAAGATATGAGCTGCTGCTCAGATACTTACATTTTAACGACAATACGCTCTGTCACCCCACAGATCACCCCGAATATGATAGGCTTTATAAAATACGCCCACTGGTAGACCATCTTCAGAACAGATTTTCTGAAGTTTATACTCCCCAACAAACTTTATCCATCGATGAATCCCTTATGAAATACAAAGGGAGATTAGGGTTCAAACAATATATCCCCTCAAAGCGGTCTAGGTATGGCATTAAAGTGTACAAACTTTGCGAGAGCGAAAGTGGCTACACATTTGCCTTCCGTGTATACGAGGGGAAAGATGCTCAACTGAACCCTCCTGGCTGTCCTGACTCTCTGGGGACAACTGGGAAACTTGTTTGGGACCTACTGAACCCTTTGTTCAATAAGGGTTACCACCTTTATGTGGACAATTTTTACAGCAGTGTCCACTTGTTTAAAATTCTTTATAGTTTACAGACACTGGCCTGCGGCACTGTAAGAAGAAATGCCAAGGATTTTCCCAGACCTCTCATAGAGGCCAAATTAAAAAAAGGGGAATGCAAAGCTCTGCGCAAGGCTGAACTGCTTGCGCTAAAATTTAAGGACAGGAAGGATGTTCACATGATAACAACCATCCATAACGAGGGCATGTCAGACGTCACTGTCCGAGGCAGGGTACAGACAAAACCGGTGTGCATCAGGGCTTATAACAGGCACATGGGGGGTGTTGATTTGGCTGATCAGCTGATGCAGCCTTATCTTATCTTAAGAAAGACAAAAGCCTGGTATAAAAAGGTGGCTACCTGTTGCAAGTAGCAACACATAATTAATTTTTACTTTTTAAAAAAATTAATCCAGGAAGAACCACCTATCTCCAATTTCAGCTCAAGCTGATTTCCACAATAATTTATGGAGATGGTCAAGTTCCAACGACAGTGCAAGAGTCGTCTAGACATTTTATTTTTAAGATACCGCCAACACCAAAAAAAAGAAACCCCCAGAAACGTTGCCGGGTCTGTTATAAAAAAGGGAAAAGGACAGACACCCCTTTTCACTGTCCCGATTGCCATACAAAACCTGGACTGTGCATTGGAGAATGTTTTAAGGTCTACCACACAGAAAATACATTTTTATAATACTTGTTCCTGATTTATTTTTTTTGTTTATTTTGAAAGCAGCAAATTTCTGTTAGTCAGTATCCTTCCCCCAAATCTCCAGTTAGATTCTTTTTGCAGGAGTTAGTTTACAGATTGCTGCTAACAGAAGTTTTAGTCTCATTTAGTCTGTTTTTTAACTCTGTGTTAGCCAGACTCTGACGCCACTGACACTGCGTCCGATTTTGACCCAGGTCAGTTTTCTGACATGTCATCTGTGTGTGAGCTGGCTGCAAAAAGAAGCTGTGCTTTCTCTGCTACGCCGAATGTGGAGGAGGAACAGGTTTCTCCACAGTTAGCTGAGCCCCAAATCACCCCTTTTAGTGCCAACACAGGCATTAATGTCAATGTGGATGACTTCTCCTCTATGCAATATATGGAGCTATTTTTAGGGGATACCATGTGGGAGGAGATTGCTCCCCAGACTAATTTATATGCTACCCAATTTATTGATACCAATCCAGATAGCTATGCAGTCAGGGAGGAGTGTGCTTGGCATCCCACAGATGTCGCTGAACTTAAAAAATTCTGGGCTCTTACAATTCTCATGGGGATTATAAAGAAGCCATCAATTTGCTCTTACTGGAGCACCAACCCAATCTGTTCTAGTCGAGTGTACTCTCAAACCATGTCTAGAACAAGATTTGAGCTGCTGCTGAGATACTTACATTTCAATGACAATACCCTCTGTCACCGCAGAGATCACACCCAATATGATAGGCTTCATAAAATACACCCACTGGTAGACCATCTTCAGCACAAATTTACTGAAGTTTATACTCCTCAAAAAAATGTATCTATTGATGAATCGTTAATGAAATATAAAGGGAGATTAGGATTCAAACAATACATCCTCTCAAAGCGCTTTAGGTATGGCGTAAAATTCTACAAACTGTGCGAGAGCGAAAGTGGCTATACATTTGCCTTTCGTATATATGAGGGGAAAGATGGTCAACTGGACCCTCCTGGCTGTACTGACTCTCTGGGGACAAGCGGGAAACTTGTTTTTGACTTACTGATCCCCTTGTTCAATAAGGGTTACCACCTTTATGTGGACAATTTTTATAGCATTGTCTGTTTGTTTCAAACTCTTTAGGGTTTCTAGATACTGGCCTGTGGCAGTGTGAGAAGATATGCCAAGGATTTCCCCAGACCTTTAATAGAGGCCAAAAAAAAAAAAAAGTGAATGTAAAGGTCTGCACAAAGCTAAAGTGCTTGCAATAAAATTTAAGGACAGGAAGGATGTTCACATGCTAACAACCATCCATAACGAGGGCATGTCAGACGTCACTGTCCGAGGCAGGGTACAGACAAAACCGGTGTGCATCAGGGCTTATAACAGGCACATGGGGGGTGTTGATTTGGCTGATCAGCTGATGCAGCCATATCTTATCTTAAGAAAGACAAAAGCCTGGCATAAAAAGGTGGCTATCTACCTGATGCAAGTAGCAACACATAATTAATTTTTACTCTTTAAAAAAAAATGAATTCAGAAAGAACCACCTTTCTCCAATTTTAGTTCAAGCTGATTTCCACAATAATTTATGGAGATGGTCAAGTTCCAACAACGGTGCCAAAGGAGTCCAGACATTTTATTTTTAAGATACCGCCAACTGCAAAAAAAAAACAAATCCCCTGAAATGTTGCTGGGTCTGTTATAAAAAAGGAAAAGGACACTGTTTTTTTTTCTTTTGAAAACAGCAAATTTTAGTTAGTCAGTTTCCTTCCCCCCAAATCTCCAATTAGATTCTTTTTGCAGGAGTTAGTTTAGAGAATGCTGCTAAAGGTGCATTTGATACCTGCACATTTGGTTAAAAAAGTTTTATGGTAGTAACATATAACTGGCTGGCCAAAACCAGATGACGTGTGCATAAAAAGCAGAATTAAAAAATTACCACCATGCACGTTCTCTGAAATTTGTTTAGCACAATGGTTGGGGGAAGGATGTGAAAACACCTCATATACAATACTCTGGAATGTCTACTTTATAAAAATATAAACTTTCATGATGTTAACATTAACGGGGGGATGCAAAAATATGCCAAACTGAAGATAGGCCAAGCATACCTATATATCAAGTTGAAAAACTGATATGTACAAGTCTTGAATGTGGCCTTTTAGCCCCCAAACAACCCAGCAAACCTATGCATGGGTGATGTCACTGTACTCAGGAGATGTTGCTGAACACATATTGGGGTGTTGTTTGGCAGTGATACATAACAGGATCTGTTAATTCATGCCTAAAGTACAATGTATGTGTAAAAAAACATGAAGAAAATTACTACCCAAAAGTTTGCCAAAGGCTGGTGGTAGAATTATTGCATGAAAAGTATTAAACTACCACCATTTAAAATACCCTGAGTTGTCTACTTTTCAAAAATATATGGTTTGATGGGGGTAAAATACATTGGCCCAAATAGGACAGGGGCGCTGGTTTACTACATGTCAAAATTCCAAGTTGAAAAATGGATATGCGCACCTGCCAAATGTGGCCTTTTAGCCCCCAAACAATCCGACAAGCCTATGCATGGGTGGTATCACTGTACTCAGGAGATGTTGCTGAACACATATTGGCGTGTTGTTTGGCAGTGACACATAACACGATTTGTTAATTCATGCCTAAAGTACAATGTGTGTGAAAAAAAACACACAAAAAATGACTACCTAAATGTTTGACAAAGTCTGGTGGTAGAATTAGTGCATGGAAAGTGTTAAAAAACCACCATTTGAAATACCCTAGGGTGTCTACTTTCCAAAAATATATGGTTTGGTGGGGGTAAAATACATTGGCCGGCCTTACAAATGTCCCAAATAGGACATGTGCGCAGGTTGACTACATGTCAAAATTCCAAGTTGAAAAATGGATATGCGCACCTGCCAAATGTGGCCTTTTAGCCCCCAAACAATCCGACAAGCCTATGCATGGGTGGTATCACTGTACTCAGGAGATGTTGCTGAACACATATTGGCGTGTTGTTTGGCAGTGACACATAACACGATTTGTTAATTCATGCCTAAAGTACAATGTGTGTGAAAAAAAACACACAAAAAATGACTACCTAAATGTTTGACAAAGTCTGGTGGTAGAATTAGTGCATGGAAAGTGTTAAAAAACCACCATTTGAAATACCCTAGGGTGTCTACTTTCCAAAAATATATGGTTTGGTGGGGGTAAAATACATTGGCCGGCCTTACAAATGTCCCAAATAGGACATGTGCGCAGGTTGACTACATGTCAAAATTCCAAGTTGAAAAATGGATATGCGCACCTGCCAAATGTGGCCTTTTAGCCCCCAAACAATCCGACAAGCCTATGCATGGGTGGTATCACTGTACTCAGGAGATGTTGCTGAACACATATTGGCGTGTTGTTTGGCAGCAAGACATAACAGGATCTGTAAGATTATACCTGAATTGCAATGTATGTGAAAAAACACAAAAAAAACAACTATCTATGCAAAGTTTGGCAAAGACTTGTGGTAAAATGGCTGCATAGAAAGTGTCAAAATATCCGTAGATGAATACCCTGGGTTGTCTACTTTAAAAAAAATATATACATGTGGAGTGTTTTCCAGAGATTTATGACAGATAATAGTGTTACAATGTCACTATTGATACATTTAAAAAAAAATTGTTTTGAAACCGCCATATCCTACTTGTACCTATAGCCCTATAACTTGCAAAAAAAGCAAAAAAGCATGTAAACACTGGGTATTTTTAAACTCAGGACAAAATTTTGAATCTATTTAGCTGTTTTTTTCATTCGCTTTTGTAGATGAGTAAAAGATTTTTCAAGTAAAAGTCAAAAAACATGTATTTTTTTCAATTTTTCATCATATTTTTGTATTTTTTTTAAATTAAAATACATGAGATTATATAAATAATGGTATGTAAAGAAAGCCCCTTTTGTCCTGAAAAAAACAATATATAATTTGTATGGGAACAGTAAATGAGAGAGCGGAAAATAACAGCTAAACACAAACACCAGAAAAGTGTAAAAATATTCCTGGTTGCAAATGTACAACATCGCAAAAACAGTCCAGTCCTTAAGGGGTTAATTATACATGAAATAGGACTTCCGATTCTGTTGCTTAGCCTAGGTCAAAATGCTAATATAAGTCCTCATACAGGCCTAAATATAGTCCTAATATAGGCTTAAACCTATATTACACCTCTCATTTTTTGAGGTTGACTTATACATTGGTTCAACTTAGATTTAGTCGGAGTTGGTACATTTTTTACAGACTGCAGTAATTCAAAATTGCTTCCACCTCCAACTCTACAGCACTACAAAACATACACTGCAGTCAATGTTTGATTAAACAAATAATAGCCATTAATTTAATTTAATAATTTAAAACTTAATACATTCTTGGCAATGATCTGCTTTTCTAAAATAGAAAAGAGAATCTTATTCCCAGGGATAATTGATGAATATGTGGTGTGTAATTAGTTGAAAGTTTGAATTATGCTTCTGGTAGTTATTATGGATACTACATAGGAGAAAGAAATACTTACCAGACTCATCAAGTTTTAGAGGAAATCGACCACTAAACATTGAAGCCAGCATTGAATCTTTGAAGCGACAGAGAGATTCCCGTCTGGCGGTGAAAATACAGCCTCCCACATTTAGTTGAAGCACATTGGAAATCTCTTTACATATACTTTCTTCTTCCATTATGATTCCGAATCTGCAACAAATCACCATATGCTCAGATATGATTAACTATGAAATGTTATATCTCCCTTTCAGACAGCTGATAGTCTACCCTCTAACTGTACATCAACATCTTAAAGGGGCAATTCAAGCACCATAACCACTACAGTGTATTGTAATCACTACAGCACAAGACTTCTTTTGGGGCAACCCCTCTGTTTTCTGACAATCCATTTTTGAGTAGTTTGATTCCTTGCACCAAAAGCCCAGTCCCAGTATTATCTGTCCAAAACCTCAAAGGACCACTATAATGCCAGGAAAACATACTCGTTTTCCTGGCTCTATAGGGTCTCTAGGTCCCCCACCCTCAGGGCCCCCCTCCCGCCGGGCTCTACGGGGTGGAAGGGGTTAAATTTACCTCTTTTTCCAGCGCCAGGCGGGGGACTCTCCTCCTCCTTCTCATCGTCATCGGCTGAATGCGCATGCCAGGCAGGAACCGCGCGCGCATTCAGCCAGTTCATAGGAAAGCATTCTCAATGCTTTCCTATGGACGCTGGCGTCTTCTCACTGTGATTTTCACAGTGAGAAGCGCGGAAGCGCCTCTAGCGGCTGACAATGAGACAGCCACTAGAGGCTGGATTAACCCTATTATAAACATAGCGGTTTCTCTGAAACTGCTATGTTTATTGAAAAAAGGGTTAATCCTAGTTGGACCTGTCACCCAGACCACTTCATTAAGCTGAAGTGGTCTGGGTACCTATAGTGGTCCTTTAACATATCTTAAGAAGAAAGGAATAACATAACATAATAAAAAAAATCAGCAGAAGGTGGAAGAAAAAAGCAAAACAAACTAGGGAGAAAGAAATGGGAGGGGGGACAAAGTGGAGAGAGAAAAAAATGACATTGGTTGTAAGAAACCATGCGATTAGAATTTGGAAATTTAAAGGGACACTATAGTATAGAACAACTACAGATTAATGTAGTGATTCTGGTGTCTATAGCATGTCCCTGCAGGCATTTCAGTGTAAAAAGCTGCCTTTTCATGTGTAATAGATGCCCAATGCTTTCTTATGGGAAAGCATTGAATCAGCTGAGATCATTAAGATTGATGCGCACTTGTGCAGCATGGGAAAAAGGTGAGCAAGATCACCTTTTCAGAGCAATCTAAGGGAGGCCTAAACAGCCACAAATATACTATAGTGTCAGGAATATATGCTGATCCTGTTGGAAAACGGTTTGCCCCATTACTGGGAAATGGGGCCAGGGTACTCTGCACAACATAATCACTACAGTGGGTTGTATTGGTTATGATGGTTGGATTAAATCTATAATGCTGCATAGCAGCATATTTACCTTAGACATTTCTAAATGCATGATCTCTGCAATGCATTAAAATGAGTGGTAAACCCTCTCTGCTCTGTCCCTTTAAAACAGGGATCTCAAACTCTGGCCCCCATGTTGACGGCTTACAGCCATTCTTTGAATGCAATTGATGTCTAGTAAATAATAACATTGTAGTATACCATCTGGGAGGGCAGAGTTTGAGATGCATGGCCAGCTCACTGATTGAGAGCTTCAGCTGAATACTACAAGCCAACCAAGCCCTGTACCGCTGCGCTTACCTCAAGTAGAGAGCTTTCTGCTGTTAGACAAATGACTACTAATACGATGGGTACAGCACAGTGTAGTTGTTATGGTGCTTTGAGTGCTCCTTTAAAGGAAACTGTTACCTCAAAACTATTTTTAATATAAGAATCCTTTCGTCAAATTTGTAAAGAAAATAGATACAGTGGAACCTCGGAGCTCGAATGGTCCCGTTCTCGAACAATTCGTAAGTCGAACAAAAGAAATTTGAGTAAAAATTGTCTTGGTACCCGAACATACAACAAAGAGTCATGTCTCATTTTCAAGTCAGACAATTATTATAAATAATTGTAATAATGACCAACAGTAAGTTTTTAGCAAGTTGAAGGGCAGGAACTACTCAAATACATGTAAGGTGCTTATTATTAGAGTGATCTCTGCATTTTAATGCATACATATAAATGTAAAATGCTGTAGTTTTGGGGGTCTGAAACAGATTAATCAATTTTACATTAATTCTTCGGGAACGGATTAAGTTTGAGTTCCGAGGTTCCACTGTATATTTATTTTTAGTATATGCAAAAACAAATTAGAAATAGTCCTACCTTTAGTATATAACAGGATCCTTCAGCCATATACATGCACCTTGTTTCAGACAGTTTTAAAGACTGAGAGTAACACAGTTATTCACTTAAAGGGACACTATAGGCACCCAGACCACTTCCGTTCATTGAAGTGGCCTGGGTGCAGTGTCCCTGTCACACTTAGTCCTTCAATGTAAAACATTTCAGTTTTAGAGAAACTGCAATGTTTATATTGTAGCACTAAAACAGTCACTACAAGCACTTCCTGCTTATTAGACGACTTTAAGTCACCTAACTGATGCTGGACGTCATCGCGCTCTGCATGAGGACATCCAGCGTCAGTCAACTTCCCATAGGAAAGCATTGTTTCAATGCTTTTCTAAAGGGAGGGCCTAACGCACTAAGATGATTTTGCAGGAGGCAGTGCACCGAAACAGGTAAGTAAATAAAGGATTTTTAACTCTTTATTGGCTGGGGAGGCGGAAGGAACTTCAGTGTTAGGAATACAGATATGTATTCCTAACACTATAGTATCCCTTCAAGTGAGAATTGCAGGGAATGCAAAGTGAATTTCAAATGAGAGGTCAAAATAGCTGAACAAGAAAAATTTGCTTCCAGTTTGGCTTTTTTGGCCTTCAATTTGAAGTTTACATTCAAATCTCTGCAATTCTCATTTTAGGGAGTAACCCGTAAGTTTCCATATTTTTCCCTGCTTCACTCTCTGAAAAGAAGCAAAGGGACACTCCACTGCCCAAATATAAAATCACTGTTTAGTATATATACCCCCAATGAAAACGTAATGCATTTAATTGTGCAAATCTCTTGCAAAACCTGCATTTCTCTTGTCTGCTAGTTTGTCCCTTCTAACCCACCCAGGCTTTCTGTGGCTGTCCATTAACAGACTCCCCAATGAGAAGTCTTTGCAAGGCAGGTTTTCTGGGCAATTGATGCCACTTGATTTTAGCTCCACTGAACTAACCAAACCAGAAAGTAACAGTAACCGTAGTCTACCTGAAAGCCAAAGGCGGTGTAACACATATAATTTAGAAAAGTGTCAATTTCTATTGAAATCTGCACTTTTTGCAAAATGAAAAAGACACACTCTTCACACACACAAAGCTTTTCGGCAGGCAAGTTTAAATGCTTTAGGGAGTGCCCCTTTAAGACTACAGAAACCGTCAGTTTTGAAACACTGTCTGACCCAAGGTGTATGTATATGGCTGAAGGACCCCGTCATATACTGAAGGTAGGGATGAGTTAAATCTTTTTAACTAAAATACTTCATTTTAAAAAAAAACAAAAAAAAAAACACCTATTTCTTTTGAAAAACTTGATGAAAGAACTATATTAAAAAATAGTTTTCAGCTGACAGTTGTCCTTTAATTTTGACTTTATTTTATAAACACGTGTTTACAAATATAATTTAATTAGTACTTCCTAATTAATAATGATAAAAAAATAAATAAAAAGTCATAGTAAATAAAGTAATAAAAGAGCCAGTAACACTACCCAGGAATCTGCCTCATTAGACAGTGACCAGCCTGGAGCTCTATGTGTAAACATTAATGCCCACACTACCCTCACGCACTGCCCTGCTGCTGGCCACAGAGCAGTTCAGCTCATCACGTGACCCAGGCTGGGAGGCTCCCAGAGTCACACAGAGCCCTGGTTTGTGGCCCGGTATCTATGGAAATCCTGATAATTAACCCATTCACCGCATATTGATCCATCCTACAACTTGGCGCACCTGCCGTACGGTACCTGCTTCCGCTTCCGGTTCAGGTTTTTGAATCCCACCTTCACGTGACTGACAGGTAACTAACCAATAGGAATCCTCCTGGGATAATAGCGCAGCCAGTAGTAAGAGAGCTACTCGCAGATGGGCGGTGTGTCCGCATGGAGTGGGCGGTTTTGTTACCATAGCAACGCACTGAAGCGTTTCATTTTGTTCGTCCCAGTAAATAAATGCAATAATCAAAGCATGATCTCTTTGGCAAATTAACTGTTATTTCCCTGCCCACAGATCAATTCTTTATAATGTTGGTTAATGTGCACGAAAAATAATTAATAAACTTACAACATACAAACGAAATGACCACCAGAATAAAGATTTTGTGTGTTTCAAAATATAAATAAACATGGTCAGTCTGGCAATTACTGAGGCAAACAGATATAAATTAGAAAGCTTGAGGCTACAAGAAAAAAAAAAACATTATTATTATTGCCATTTATATAGAGCCAACAGATTCCGTAGCGCTTTACAATATTATGAGAGGGGGGGATTTAACTATAAATAGGACAATTACAAAAAAACTTACAATACACCAGAGATGGCATAATCAGTGCACCAGGAGGACACACCAGGGGTGTCCAAATGCTTAAAGCGGGCTTCCTCAAACTCCGGCCCTCCAGATGTTGCTGAACTACAACTCCCATGATTCTATGAATGAAATAGATAGGCTAAGAATCATGGGAGTTGTAGTTCAGCAACATCTGGAGGGCCGGAGTTTGGGGAAGCCTGGCTTAAAGGGAAACTATAGTGACCTCCCAATGATGCTGCCCCGAGAGGGTTTAAACTCTGTATGTGTAGCATTTCATAGCAAAACCACTGAGTGTACAGACTTCAGGCACCATGACTACTTCAAGTCACTAAAGTGGTCATTTGTGCTTGGAGTAACCCTTTAAAATGTGGTATTTGAGTATTTTCACCGATATGTCACTGCTAATTGCATAATTTAGACAGGGCCTCATTGGCCCTTGGGTTGCCAACTGGCCAGCTGTTATTTGTAACTACCAGGCTGGTGCATATATTGTATAAAAACTGGCATTGCAAATTCTGGAACTTATTGACTGATACAAGAGGGGAGCATTATAGTGTACAACTACTGTTGAACATATATTGTTCAGAGGGCATCCATCACAACAGTTTCTGATGTGACCATCTATGCCGGGGTGTTTATTACTGACAACATAGGAACACTTGCATCCAAAATGGCACAAGTTATAGCGTAGGTGAGCAGAATGATTCAAAAGTAATGCTGACGACCCAGGAGGGGTGTTACCCAGCTATCCCACACCAAAAAGTCACAATAAACACTTCCTCATATCTATTAGGTTACATCAGGCTTCCCCACACGGAGTTTGGGGAAGCCTGGGTTACATCATTCCTGGTTGTTGAGCCTTTCTCTTTGCCTGTTAACCTTTCCTGCCTATACCGACCCCTTTGCCTTACTATGCTTCCTGGATTCTCCTTGTCTGTACCTAATGTCTGTTTTTCTCATCTTTGTTCTGACTTTTGCATCCTGTGCTTCTACACTTCAAACCCTGACACACATGGACAAGGGGGTATTAGAGAAACACATGGACTTATTTTTTGTTATATTATTATTATTATTATGATGATGATATTTATAGAGCGCTGTCAAATTCCGCAGCGCTTTACAATGGGTGGACGAACAGACATGTATTTGTAACCAGACAAGTTGGACACACAGGAATAGAGGGGTTGAGGGCCCTGCTCAATGAGCTTATATGCTAGAGGGAGTGGGGTAAAATGACACAAAAAGGTAAGGATAGTATTAGACTAATGACAGTTGCAGAAGAGGAATCAGTCAGGAGCTATTAACAGTTTAATTGATACGCTTTTATGAAGAAGTGGGTTTTTAACGATTTTTTGAAGGAGTGGAGACTGGGTGAGCATCTAACAGAGGAGGGAAGCGAGTTCCACAGGAACGGTGCAGCCCTCGAGAAATCTTGAAGGCGAGCATCAGAGGTGGGAGTACGGACAGAAGATAGACGTAAGTCTTCAGCAGATGTAAGGGCCTAGACGGGACATACTTGTGTATAAGGGAGGATAGATAGGTGGGAGCAGCATTATGTAGAGATTTGAAAGCAAGAACCAAAATTTTAAATTGAGCTCTATATTTTATAGGAAGCCAATGTAGGCACTGACAGAAGGGTGAGGCATGGGAGGTGCGGGCGGACAGGAAAATGAGCCTCGCCGCCGCATTCATTATGGACTGTAAAGGCGCTAGTTGGGAGCACGTAAAACCACTGAGAAGCGGATTACAGTAGTCAAGGCTAGAAAGCACAGTGGAATGGACCAACACCTTAGTCGCATCTGGCATTAAGTAGGGGCGGATGTGCGCAATGTTTTTGAGATAGAAATTACAGGATTTGGCGATAGATTGAACATGAGGCTTGAAGGAGAGGTCGGAGTCAAAGAGAACACCTAGGCAGCGAGCCTGCATGGTGGAGCTGATGGTAGTGATGTAGATTAATTTAGAAATAAACAAAAATGTTTAAAAGTCTATCTGTTCCTGTCCAAATCTGAGATGAATAAATTGCGTATACGCAGAAGTAAGTTCACACTGACACATGCAGTTCAGGTTAAAAACACTTCAGGAAATTTATTAGCATCTAGTTAAAAAGCGGGCACGCAGGCCTTTTTATATGCAAAATGACATCATCATTGAATATCAGATAATAACAAATAAACATCATTAATTGGGTTAAATGTTAAGTGGCTATGTCAGTGTCCACCCATTAATATTATTAATTGGCTCAGAGATTTGAGTGACTAGTGAGGCACCCTCCCATCATGGGATGTCGTCGCCATTGCTCTTTAGCACGAGGCTTACTCGGTGGAAAGGGGGGCTTGGGCGTCATTTTACGTAGTTAGTGATGTCAGTCTCGTGGTCTGTTCCAAGGTTCTTTTATGAATAGAACATTTCATTTTGTCGCTGTTCTCCTGGCCTTGGATTATACTATGTTGCAAGTCAACGGAGATCCGCTAACTCCGGGGCTAGTTATGTCCTTAGAGAGAGAAAATACAATCTCTTATTCATTATACTGAATACTGTCAGGAAATTCTGTCATGTAAGGTGAACAAAATGGAGTTAGTACAATAATTCAATACAGGTTCTAATAAAGATTTTAATAATTCTACATCAGTCCCCCCTATGAAATGTTAGATTCTAAAAGATAATCTTTATTTGTTAGTATCAGAAGGCGTGTTAGCCCAAAGGCACAGAAACCCCGTGACCCGCTAGCTAGGTGTTATTGCAAAGTGCAAAGCTGTCCCTTCGTCTGTCCCTAATTGGCTAACTCATCTGTCCGCTGGGCACTCGAACACTTCACTCCATGGGTATCCCGAGGTGGCTAACCCACCACATCTCCGCACGGTAGACTTCCCAGACAGACAGATGCTGTCCCTAAGCTGGTCCCTTCCTAGAACTCTTGCACTTTATCAATAAACGGGATAGATTGTAGCGGTATACAGGGCGAGTTGACTTTTTGGAAATCTTGGTCATCAACTGTGAGGTGTGCGTAAGTGGGTGCCGCTTGGTCTACAGTCTTCAAGAGGAGCTTTCTCAGACAAGGGAGGACACAACAAACGAGAAGAGCAAAGATAAAAAGGAAAATTAGTATTGCTATACCAATATGCATCAAAGCTTTTTGCCATCCTGTCATCCAACCAAACCATCTCTCCCAGGGATCTTTTATCCCAGAGTTCCTCTTTAGCTCCTCAGAGAGCTCTTTCAATTTTCCTATAGCTAAGGTTACTTTACCATTGGGGCCTGTGTTTTCTGGGATGTAAGAACAACATGTCATGGTGTCAGGCAGAATTTTACATACCCCTCCTTTTTCTGCTAGAATCATATCTAAAGCCATTCTATTTTGGAATGACATTTGGGACGTAGCCTGCAACTGTTCGGCCAAACCCTGAAGGGCATCCCTGGTGTAATTAACAAACCGTTGTTGGTTGTAGTAGATGATGTTATTTATCCAATTTACATTCTTGTTTGCAGTGACTATGGTAAAAAGTGATTCAAATCCTGCAGCAACTTCATCCCTGGTTTTAAACTCATTGGGCACCCCCCTAGGTACCCCAATGGCATCAATGTAAATATGAGGGTCAAAACTGCCTTTTACTGGGGCTTCACGCTTTACCTTGGTTGGTGAGTGTTTGGACTCATGAGTATCGGGGTGTGTGTCAGAGATAATATGTATGGGCATGATTGCTTTAGCCAGAGTACACTCCCCCCACCATTCTTTATCCATTCTTGATCTCAGCTGTAGATCCCCACACAACCAGTAAATATCCCCCAATGATCTAGTGTGGAATTGTAGGAGGTTCATAGAGACAGTTCTGTAGGTGGCACAATAACCTTTAGAGAAGTTACCCACAAATTTACCAATTCCATCATAATTAGCATAACAGGTATAATTACCTTTATAGACGGTAACACCATCTGGGGGTTTGCAATCTTTGACTAGAAGAGGATACTCTACTGTCCATGCTTTACATATGGACCTATTGAAATTGTAGTGATAGGCAAAAAGACTCAGAACACATTCTTCTATATCTACTGGCAAAGTTGAAGGCACAGTGCCCAGGTGCGGCCGGGCACCACCACACACATAGCATGCGGTTCTGTTATGTTTGTTGGCATTATATTTCATCCATTCTAACCATAGATTAACATCATTGAAACCTGTTTCAGCGGCCATGGTATCTTCAAATGTTGGATTTGCAATGGCCATCATGTCTTTAAAAGATTGGATGTGTGGTTTCAACGGATTTGAGACCATGTGGGTGGTCCCTTTCCACTCAGGAGAGTGGCACATATCTTTAAGGTGGAAATGTCCTAATTTATTATAGGAACCCTTCTTCCAGTACATTCCCATTACATACTGGTCTGCATCCGTTGGGCTGGGATGCTCAATGTTTAAGATTAATTTCATAGGTATGCCTCCTCCGGGCTTTCTCAGAGTCATTCTCTGGAGGAGGGACCTACCGTGATCATCAATTTTAGATAAGACACTTTTTGGTTTGTAACCCCAGGCAGGCCCGGCATTCCATCCCGCCGCCCCCCAATGGTTACAGTTGTGCCCCCATTGTTTGTCAACTACACAAAC